AAGAACATGGACTTCAGAGGTAGATATAAATAAAATTTAACTCCATTCTTCCACTTTTTAGGAATATGATATTGAACCTAAGTCACTATCGTAAGTGAGATATGAAGTAATAAATTAGAGAGTGGTCAGTGCTCAATCACTAATTGCTAAATGAAAAGAAGATGAAGTGCTAGGTAAATGCAGGTTTCTAATATCATTACTGTGATTTTGGTCTTTAATTTAAAATCTATCTTCTCGAGGCTATGATGAGAATGATTTTAGAACTTTCTGTTTTCCCCCCACACTGTGGCCACTATTCCCAAAAAGATGTGTTCAAATAGATTATAAGTTCCTAGAAAGCAAGGGCAATATTTTCTACATCATTTGTGTTCTTAAAGAACCTACAAGAGTTGAGTATAGTCCTGACTAAACAACTAGTGACTCATGTCATTGAAAATAGTCCACATTTACAGACAAGTCTCTTCGGGAGACCATACCCAGGTCTGGCACCATTAGAGCTAGTATTCTAGGTTCTGGGCAAATAAGTATTTCTGAGAATAAGAATTCAGAATGTTGGGCCAGCAGATGGCATAATGGTTACATTGCTGGACTCCCACATAGCCGACCATGGTTTCAGTCCTGGAACTGGTAGCTTCAAACTCACACTGGGCACATGTGTCTGCATGCCCAAGATCCCAAGAGAAGAATGGAGGAGAAGGGACTGCAGCATGATATCCCCCCTTGGGAGTGATTTCTTGCTTTGTATCACTGTCTCTCTGGTGAGCACACACACCTTATAGTAAAAATCTATCTTAAAAAAAAAGAATTCAGACTGTTAATATTCACTTTTATCAAAAATATGCAATTGGATGGCTCTTATCAATTTTTTTGCCCTAAAGATGCAGGGTTATGTTAAATAGTTTTCATGTTCAATAATATTGTTCATTTAAAAATGAGAAATATTATGAATGTTAAGCCCTTACAACCCACTTTGTATTATGAGAACCCATTATTTAATTCTATTCTCTTCATGATCATTTTTAATATATTTCCATATATTAATTATGTTCATGCTGATGTTCTCAACCTCAGCCAAGTTCATTATATATTTTGATGGAAAAGCACTTAAATCTAAATGACAATTTGCATTTACTTTTTTAAAAATAGATTTGGAATGGCCATTAAAGAGCTTTCTCTAAATAGACTGATTTTGAAATTCTAATTGAATTTTATATTCTGTTCCATAGAGAATAAGCACGTAATTATTTTGGCTGAAATGACTGGATATCTCACCCAATTATTCATGGCTTTGAAACAAGGATTGCTGTTTCTTGTCCTTCTGGCAATGGACTGAAAACCCTCTTCTATGAACGCTATGAATTGGAGGTCAGAACTGAATTGACATAGGTGAATTAAGGATCCCTGTAGTGTGTGTGGCAACTTCAAATGGTAAATGTGCTTGAGCGTTTATTTAGATGCCAACATTTTTTTTTTAATGTGAAAATGAGCTACAAGAATTTCCTACCTTGTGTTTCTGATCCTGTTTCAACTGGCTTGAACCACTCAACCACTACACCATAGTCTGTCCTGGTGGTCTTTCTTATTCATTACTTTATCCCTGATGATTAAAACGTAACAGGCACTCAATGAATATTTGCCAGGCGCTCAATGAATATTTGCCAGGCGAATGAATTATAGAATAAAATGAGGAGGGAAGGAAAGAAAAGGGAGGTGAAAACAAAAGAAACCTCATTTTAAATTTCCTTACTAGCTCTGGTCCTCACTCTTAGAAGCTCGTGAAACTCCTCCCCTATTTTCTCTGGCTGTTCTTCCTGAAGTGTGAATTTTAGTTTCCCTATTGCAAACTTGCTTAAATGCTCTGTAAGTAAAGCAAATAGGTCACTCAGTTTTATGACAGTGAAGGAAATATTTTAAATACATTTTAAATTTGGCTCAATCTCTTTGAAATGCATAGGGATACAAGACGTTTTAGAGTAAGTTCTAAGTTTTCTTTTTTGTTTTTGCTTTCATTTTCTAAGATCCAAACCAAAAAAGTTGGTTGTGAGTGGTCCCTATTTGAAGATACTGAAAGTCATTTAATATATGTTTTTAAAAAAATCTTGCCAGATGTTGCACACGCCCTAGCCAGAGAGAGAGAGAGATGGAGAGACAGAGAGAGGGAAAGGTAGGAACCACCTCCCAATGGGTGCTTCTCTTCCACTTCTCCTTTGGGGATTTTTGGCATGTTGCATGTGCACCTGGAGCATTTCTCAAGCTGTGGGGTCTGGGACTCCAGCTCTGAGATCAGCTGTGTGGGACTGGCTACCCCAACCACCAGACCACAGCCTTAGCAGCCCTTAATGTGCATTTAAATAACACACGGGACCCACAGGTTGTGGATGTTTCTGTGAAATACAGAGTAAAATATATTATCTCTGGACTGGAAGATATTAGTTGTAGTAGTACATATGATGTGGAGAGTCATGCATAGGATGACAGACTCCATCTCTGGATTTCTCTCTGAGTTGGGAATGGAAAGTAAAAGCACGGGCTGCGCAAACTGAATTACAGCAGTACTTCTGATTAACTGAAGGCAGTCAGAGTATCGCTTTGGCTCATTTTAAGAGTTTATGACAAGTGGGAACCAGCAGTTAGCGTAATGGCTATGTCGCTGGACTCCCATGTAGTAAACCGCGGTTCGCGTCCCGGATCCGGTGGCTTAAAACTCACGCTGGGCACGTGTGCGTGCGTGCCTAAGATCTTGAGAAGAGAATGGAGGAGAAGGGATTGTGGCATGACCATCCCCTCTGGGGGGTGATTTCTGATTTTTCGCTTTCTGTCTCTATGTCTCTCTCTGTCTGCCTGGTGAGCGCACACGCCCTATAGTGAAAATCTTTCCAAAAAAAAAAAAGAGTTTATGACAAGTGATTCTGACCTAGAAAAATGGCTTGTGATTCTAAAACATCACATTAGAATTTCAAGAGGCACTCTCTTTTTTGTTTTAAATAATTATTTTATTTAACTTTATTTATTCATTTAAATTTGACCAGAAAGGGACAGAACAAGAGAGAGAGAGAGAGAGAGAGAAAGTAAGAAAGTAAGCCACCAGGTCTAGGACTTGAACCATGTTGGCCATGTGGGAGTCCAGTGCCCTTAACCACCACACCACCTGCCACCCCTACTCTCCTTTTTTTAAGAGAAGTTTCTGTTATAGGGCATATGCACTCACTGGGGAGAGAGAGAGAGAGAGACAGGAAGTGAGAAATCACCCCCCCAGAGAGGTATAGCCACCTGCAGTCCTGTCTCCTCCATTTTCCTTTGTCTCCTCTATTCTCCTCAGGATCTTGGGCATGCACGCATGCATGCACACACAAGCACTAGTTGTGAGTTTAAACCACCAGGTCTGGGATTCAAACTGCAGTCAACTATGTGGGAGTCCCAGTGATGTAACCATTATGCCATCTGCTGGTACTGAATTTCAAGAGCTATTCTAATGGAGAGATGAAAATAAGAGAAAAAACTGGGTGAACTGTGTGAGCGTAATCTCTATTCCACTTGTTGCTTGTTACTAGAATAACTAGTATGCCCTGTGGGCAGACAAGCCGGGATCCGGCCAGAAGCACAGGAAGGGCTGTGGGTCAGCTCCTACTCCCCTGCTTGGGTGGGCACCTTGGCCCACTGGACAAATCATATGAGCATATACTGTGGCTAAGCCCCCAACTTTTTGCAAAATATAAAATAAATTGATAAAAGTTTAATAGGAAAGATTTCTATTGTGCCCCGATACTTTCTTTACACAATTATTTTCTTTAGGCAGTTTTGCAAAATAATGAAAGGCATGAGTTCTTTGTTTAACTTTGTTAAAATTCCGAATTTTTTCACATCTTTAGTGGTTTCTCTGAGCCTCAGTCATTTCAAATACAATACTGAAATGACCATGTCTTCTTTAGACATTTATTGAGAGGATTAAATAAAAGTGTGATAAATAATGAATGTCTAGCATACTCTTTGGTACTTAGTAGGTGCTCAATAAACAAGAGTTACTGGTATACTGTTTATATCTATTTTTTAAAAGAATTATTTTATTTAACTTTATTTATTTTTATTATTATTATTATTATTATTATTATTGAATTTGACCAGAGAGAGAGAGAGGGAAAGCGAGAAAGCAAACCACCAGGTCCAGAACTCGAACTGTGGTTGTCCATGTGGGAGTCTAGCACCTCTAACCACCATGCCATCTGCCAGCCCTTATATCTTTAATTTTTTATGTCAGGTTTAATAAGGAGATTATTTAAAATAAAGGAAGCTGGGGAGAGCATTTGGCTTGGTGGTTAAGTCGCCAGATTCCTATGTGGTTGACCATAGTACAAATCCTGGCCGTAGTGGATAACAATCACACCGGGGCACACGTGCGTGCATGCCCAAAATCCCAGTAGGAGATTGGAGGAGAGGGGATTGAGGTGTGGCCATACCCCCATGGGGTGATTTCTCACGTTTCCTATCTCTGTCTCTCTCTGGTGAGCACAAAAAAAAAATTATTTTTAAATAATTATTTTATTTAACTACATTTATTTAAATTTGACCAGAGAAGGGCAGAGTGAGGGAGAGGAAAGGGAAAGTGAGAAAGCAAGCCGCCAGGTCCAGGACTCAAACCACGGTTGGCCATGTGGGAGTCCAGGTCCTAACTACCATGCCACCTGCCGGCCCCAAGCACAAATATCTTTTTTAAAAAAAGAGCGAAAACAAAAGGAAAGATACTTATCTAGATATGAGTAAAACCACACAGACTAAGCCATGCCTCCCACAACTCCAACAATTCATAGCAATATATCAACATATTAGATTAATGTACTTAAAATATTTTCTTGACTAGTTCATTAAATTAATAATAATGACAGTTCAATGAATGAGATCACTTTGCTGGTCTTTGACAGTACTAAAAGATATCCTGAATTATCCATATTTATGAAGTCACCTATATATCAACTGGTTATAAAAATTGCATCTGGGAAGGACTACACACTATAGACATAAAATGTCCACCTGACTTTTCACACTTTAGCAAATATTACAACTTCTCTTATTTAAAAATATATGAGGGGTCCAGCAGGTGGCATGGAGGTTAAGGGAGCTAGATCCCACATGAGTGACTGTGGTTCAAGTCTCGGACCCAGTGACTTGAAAATCACACCAGGTACAGGATATGCCTGCCCCAAATCCTCAAATTCCTGAGAAGAGAATAGAAGAGAAGGGATTGTGGCATGACTATTCACCATGGAGGGTGAGCTCTCGCTTTCTCTTTTTCTGTTTCTTTCTGGCAAATGCATGTACTCTATGGAAAAGCTAACTAACTAAAAATTTTTATATTTAAATATATATGAGGGATCTCAAGAAGTTAATTGAAAATGGAATTAAATTATGAGATTGTTTGGTCATAATATGCATTTTTTATGGACTTTTGGAAGACCTCTTGTATTTCATCACATCCTAATTTTTCTGTGAACTAAAGAAGTTTATTTTGAAGGCATACACGGACTCACACACACACTCACACACACACACTCCTGCACACAGAGTGTGAGTAAAAACATCTGAGCACACAAAATATTGAGGCAGCAAGGTATGGGACTGGAACTTTGTATTTTAGTCCTGGCTTCAGAGGCAGTCATGTTGCAAACTGACTTCAAAACAATTACATTAATCAAAACTCTATTTAGTTTTCTATAGCAGTATTGATTTCACTAACACTTACCAGATTTATATTCTGCTTCTTGAATTGCCTACCTCCTACTCCCTCTCATTCCCTAGGCTAAGAGGGCACACATATCTGCATACCACAGACGTGCTCAAGGCTGCCCTTCGAAAGAAGCTGTCTCTGAGGGACGAGCAGTTGGCGTACTGGCTATGTTGCCGGACTCCCAAGTAGTCAACCACTGTTTGAGACCCAGACCTGTTGGTTTAAACTCACACCAGACACGTGTGCGTGCATGCTCAAGATCCCAAGAGGAGAATGGAGGAGAAGGGACTGTGGCACTAGCTTTCCAATGTATCACAAACAAATTTAAATAAAATGAAAGATTAGCAGGGAGGGCAACTGTAGATACTAGAGATTGTAAGAGAGAGATTATAAGGGTGGGATAACAGGGAGGGAAGGAAAGAAGGAAACAAAAACACTCACACACACACACTCCTGCACACAGAGTGTGAGTAAAAACATCTGAGCACACAAAATATTGAGGCAGCAAGGTATGGGACTGGAACTTTGTATTTTAGTCCTGGCTTCAGAGGCAGTCATGTTGCAAACTGACTTCAAAACAATTACATTAATCAAAACTCTATTTAGTTTTCTATAGCAGTATTGATTTCACTAACACTTACCAGAT